TGGGAGGCCTTCAAACAGACCCTGCCCCCCATAAGAGGGATGACTATTTTCTCCTCTGGGCAAGCCATCTTTGGAAGTCAGAGCTCACATGGGAAGGAATCAACTGGGCTGAAACATGGAGATGCTCTTTTCAACTGCCGTGTGCCTGGAAGAGGCTTTGATGAAGGTTTGTGTCTGTTTGGGGATGTTCAACATTTTGATTGTTCCATACCGTCCACTGAAATGTAATACTTGACATTTCTCGAGAAACAGTTGTGTAAGGTTTTTTTTTTTAACCAAGTGTAACTGAACTATATGTTCAGGGAAATGGAAATAAAACATTGCTTAGTTTAGATATGAAGCTGGCATCTACTTCATCCTCACCCTGCTTTGAGGACATCCGTCTTTTCCCCACGCCCTAGTCCCTGTGCTTAGGAGGCAGACCACCCCTGCTCAGGAGAGGGGGGTGGCACTGGCAGAAATAGAGTGAGAATACTTTGGCCAGACAAGCCTGTGTGCGAATCCCACACCTTCGTTTGCCTAACTGCAGAATTTACCCAAGGGCAAAATAGGGGTGATATCCCCGCCTGCCTTGCAGCCTATTGCAAGGATTAGAAGTAATACACAGTACCGAGCCTAAAGCAGGGTACAGAAAACAAAAAAAGCACTGATGACTGTTAACTCTGCTCCCAAGGACAAAACACCCCTTGGTGGATCTGGCCCAGCTGCAGTTCCATGAACCACTGCAGGGCTATTTTCACAGCCCTGGCTGATTAGCATGAGGTGGCTCTGGAGCCTGCTGGTGACTTTCATTTCAAGGGCCCCCAAAGGCAAATCTGGGACAGCAATGGACAGCATTGCTCTGGGACAGTAGGTGGACAGTGCTGCAGCGAGGCCAGTTCTGACTCAGCCAAAGAGAATGTTTTTCCAATGATAAGAAGCAAGCAAGAGCATATGGACATATAGGTAGATTTACTCGTGTGTGTGTGTGTGTGTGTGTGTGTGTGTGTGTGTGTATGTGTGTGTGTGTGTGTCTGTGTGTCTGTGTGTGTGTGTGTGTGGTGTACATGTGAGGGATAGGGTCTTGCTATGCAGCCCAGGCTGGCTTTAGAGTCCTCCTTAGTCTCCCAAATTTTGGGATTATGGGTATATGCCACCACACCTGCCTTAATAGGTTGCTTTAGACTACAATGACCATCATTTTAAAAAGGCTAGAAGCTGGACACAATGGCTCACAAACATAATCCCAGCACTTAGGAGGCTGAAGCAAGAGGACTGTGAAGTTGAGGTTAACGTGTGCCATATATGAAGACATCGTCTCAAAGATGAGGGAGAAAAAGGGTAGGAAAGCCTACAGCAGGGTACTTACCTAGTGTGCATGAGGTCTGGAGCCTGATTCCCAGTACCAAATGAAGCTGGGGTATAGTTATAGTGGCACACACCTGCCCCAGGATTCTAGATGGAAGTAAAAAGATCTGAAGCCAAAGTCATCCTCGGCTTTGTAGTGAGTTTAAGGGCAGCTGGGCTACATCTCAAAAGAAGAAGAAAAAGGAGGAAGAAGGAGGAGAAAAATAGACAAGAAACATTTACAGAGCCTTGCTTGGTCCTTGTAACCTGAGTTTTGGGTGAGAGGCGATGTTCTCCATCTGTGTGACAGGTTCAGCACTCCCCTCCCCTCCCCCCAACTCTGGTGTGGCCTGCCTCTTCAGTGTTTTGTTTTGTTTTGATTTGATTGGTTGGTTTTTGGTTTTTCGAGACAGGGTTTCTCTATATTGCTTTGGAGCCTATCCTGGAACTCGCTCTTGTAGACCAGGCTGGCCTCGAACTCATAGAGATCCACCTGCCTCTGCCTCCCGAGTGCTGGCATTAAAGGTGTGTACCACCAACACCCGGCAACCTGCCTCTTTAGAAACTATCTCAGAGCCAGGTGCATACCTTTAATCCCAGCAGAGGCAAGTGGATGTCTGAGTCTAAGGTCAGTCTGGTCTACAGAGCAAGATCCAGGACAGCAAAGCCACACAAAGAAAAGGAAAGGAAAGGGAAGGGAAGGGAAGGGAAGCGAAGGGAAGGGAAGGGAAGGGAAGGGAAGGAAAGGGAAGGGAAGGGAAGGAAGGGAAGGAAAGGGAAGGAAGGGAAGGGAAGGGAAGGAAAGGGAAGGGAAGGGAAGGGAAGGGAAGGGAAGGGAAGGGAAGGGAAGGGAAGGGAAGGGAAGGGAAGGGAAGGGAAGGGAAGGGAAGGGAAGGAGCTGGGCGTTGGTGGCGCACGCCTTTAATGCCAGCACTCGGGAGGCAGAGGCAGGTGGATCTCTGTGAGTTCGAGGCCAGCCTGGTCTACAAATCAAGTTCCAGGACAGCCTCCAAGACAATACAGAGAAACCCTGTCTCGGAAAAAAAAAAAAAAAGGAAAGGAACCACCTCAGAGAAAAGGGTGTCAGCACTGAATAACACTCTGAGACAGCAAAATGGTATTGGAAAATGTGGCCTGGCTCTGCAGATCCAACAAGGACTGATGGGAAATTTCCACTGGCAGGCAGGGAACTCATTGGAAGTCTGCACAGATACAGCAAGCCTTTGTACTGGAGGTAGATCTCCAGATGTCTTTGTCACATAGTGAGTTGAATGGTGGTTTCATTGAAAATATGTCTAGAACCTGTGAGGTGACCTTACGTGGAAAAATAGGTCTTTGTGGATGTAATTATGTTGAACATCCTGTTTTAAAAAACATTTTTTAGATTTATTTATTTAGTATACAGCGTCTGTCTGTCTGCCCACAGGCCAGAAGAGACCACCAGATCTCATTACAGATGGTTGCCAGCCAGCACGTGGTTGCTGAGGATTGAACTCAGGACCTCTGGAAGAAGTGTCAATGCTCTTAACCTCTGAGCCATCTCTCCAGCTCCTATGATGAACACCTTGAGACATGACCATGATAACTTAGGTGTGCTGTGCATTTGATGACAAGTGTCCTTATGGAACGCGGGATCAGACACACAAAGGTGAGGTATAAACAGGTATTGAAATTATGCTTCCACAGGCCACAGGTTGTCTGCAGCACCAGAAGCTAGGAGAAAGGGCAGATTCTCCTGCATAATTTCTGTCTTTAAATTGTGCGTGTCGCCCAGTGGCAGCACTTGGGAGGCAGAGGCAAGCAGATCTCTGTGAATTCAAGGCCAGCCTGCTGTGCGTGCGTGTGTGCGTGTGTGTGTGCGTGTGTGTGTGTGTGTGTGTGCGCGTGTGTGTGTGTGTGTGTGTGTGTGTGTGTGTGTGCACCCATGGAAGAAGGGCATTGGATCTCAGAAGCTGAGTCACAGGCAGTTGGGAGCCACCCAACGTAAGTTCTGGGCACAGAAATCAGTTCCTCTGAAAGATCAGCAAGCACACTTAACTGCTGGGCCATCTCTCTAGCCCCTTCCTTGGAGTTTTTAAATGGTGTGTCTAACCCGCAGTCCCTGAATGTGTCCCAGGATAGCTATGAATGCAGCCCAACACATTTGCAGACCACATCATCATGTCACAATGTGAAAAGGTTGGACATCCGAGAACCAACCCTGCCACAACCTTGATCTAGATTTCTGATCTCAATAGCATGGGTTTCTGTGGGGTTTTTGTCTGCTCTGCTTGTGGCCATTTATATGCCCTGCCATCTTGAATTCTCTCTGGCTAGGTCAACAAGGGGGAGCCATTGTCCTTGGGGGCATTGGGATCCCTGGCTCCCAGATAGAATCTCCATCTCATTGCCCAGTCTGCTCCTCTTTACCCTTAAACTGCTCAATTGCATTGTGTGCTTAGTGTCTGGGTTTCTGTCACTTAATGACATCTGAGCAACAGCACCAGGGAACACAAGGCCGTCAGCACAGGATCCAGTTCCTATGTGGAAAAGGCACATCACCAACAGGAAGGACATTTCCGGAAACCACCTTAAAAAGTGGCGGGAGGGAAGGAGCCACGCAGCCCTAGCTCTCAGCCACAGTCTGCCGGCAGTGAATGTCATCTGCTTTGACCTGGACACAGCTGTGGTCATCTGTGTTCCTCTGCATCTCAGTCTGAACTGCAGCAGCCAAGTACCTATTGTCACCAGCAGTGAGTTTTCATGTTGAAAGACACTTTCATGAGAGTTGGCACCACACTCTGCTCCTTGGTGGGTATTGTTCCCGAAACAAAGTTCTTCGTTAACGAGTTTGGAGGTTTTGATCTTGAAAGTGCTGGGGAGAGAAGCTGGCTGGGCTAGCAGTGGCATGCCTTCAGATGCAAGTGTGAACCAGCACCATGTTCTGGGAGCAGAAGATCAGCCCAGGAGGGGGCTGGAAACAGGCCACGTGGGGGGAGTGGCAACGCTGAGTGATCCCACCCTACCCTCTGCTGTCCTTGCACAGGCCCTGCTTTCTCCCAGGAGCGCAACAGAGTTCCAGTACCCCAGTCCTGCTTTTGGGACAGAAGCTGTGGTTCTGGTGAAACCCAGGATTAGCATGGAAATGGAGACATCATTCTTTAGGGGGACCTCTGTTGACATCTCCCTCATGCCTCGGTATTGGAGAATCAGTCCCTGGGTTGTGCTCTGAGGACAGATGATCCATTCTTCCCGTCTCCCGGCAGGTGGCAACTCACACAGCTCTTGTGCTGGATGGACCCTGTCACCACGGGCCGTCATGGACTCTCTCAGCCAGCTTGGATGCCTTGGATCCAAACCTAATATGAACTTCTCAGGCCTTCTCCTTTTATTCTTTTTTTTCCTTCCCTCTTTCTCTTGTATTTCTTCCAACATTATTTTCTGTGTGAGAGCAACAATCCCTGAACACCGCTGGAGGAAAAAGGCTGTCAAGTGCCAGAAAAGAAGTGGGGGGGGGGTCCAGACTGCCCAGCAGCAATTTCTGGAAGGTGTGTGCCCACCCTCCCTTGGCTCAGCAGGTGAGCCCTACCTGTGCCAGCCTAATTGCCACCCGTCCACTGCCCTGCATGGTAACAAGGAACTCAAACACCAGGACACTCTTTAAATGACGAAACATTTAAATAACATCCATTTACCTTTCACGCACCTCTGCTTCGCTTCTTAATTACTAGCAGCACCTGATTTCCAAGGAAGCCTTTTACTTATGGAATTCATTTCCTCATCCTCCCCGTGGAGAGACTGCAGCCCCCTGTGTGCAGTGGTTTTGGGGGCGACAGGTCGTTGGGGCAGAAGGTCTTGAGCTGGAAGGCCAGAGAGAGCCTGGGAGAGGGTTGTCTTCACTGACAAGGCAGCATGCTTAATGGAGTCTCGGCAATGGGGAGGGAGGGGAGGGAGGGGCGCTGCGGAACAAGGCAGGAAGCTGCGGCGAGAAGTGTAAATATGATGATTGTTGTCTGTTTCACGGGAGGTAAATAAATCAACTCCGTGTAGACTCGAGAGGTGGCTGGTGATGCTGTGTACTTACATGGCATCGCGAGTCTGGCCTCTTCAGCAGGCTTCAAGCCTTGATTCATTATGCTTTCCACCAGCCCACCAGAGGGAGGGAGATGGGGAGAATTATCATCCCAGCGAGGAACCCAGAGGTTAAGAGACAGTAGTAAGTTGGGAAGGAGGCGCAGCCCTGACAGCCCATTCCTAGCTCCTGCCACATCACACTCCACTTAGATACAAGTCATTGTCAGGTAACCTACTTTTCAGGGTCTAATTTCAGCGTATGAGGGCTCTGGCTCCCCTGTATCTGAAGACTGTGAGCTTGTGGAACAGGAAAAAGTGATTTTAATCATGTCCATGCTTGTTGGGGGCTGAAGGGTCTAAGAGTAAGCTGAAGCATCTAACCTTCTTTGGTCCCTGGTCCCACATGGATGAGGGAGGAAGATACACTATCTCTGTGGAATCATGAGACCTGAAGCTTCCCACGTCCTGAAAGCATGGGTCTGACATTGTTTCATGAGGAAGGATCTGTTGCCCAGGTGTCCCCAGGAAGGAAGGGCTCGGCCCAAGAGATGCGCAGAGACAGTTTCACCTGCAGGTTTCGCTCAGCGACAGAAGTTTGCAAATAGGTCAGAAAAAGGGTTCCTCTCTTCCCAGGTCCAATTCTCCTCAGTTGTGGAATGGAAAAGCTGGACCATATCAGAGTTTACAAGGGTAGGCAATGACTCCCTGGAGAGTCCTCCCAGCCTCCCTCACATCTGCAGTCTGAGGCTCTCCTCACCCTAGGCCTTACAGTTTTTAGGGGCACCTAAGAATGGGAGTTGAGAGCAGGCGAGTTGCCGCCAGAGCTGTCACGTGGGTTGCCAAGGAGTCATTGAACAGAGGAAACTGCCTTCAGTGTCCCCGAAGACTAATTTCCCCCAGGCCAGCATGTGTGGAGAACCTCCACCAGGTCCCAGTTGCCTCCGACAGCAGTCATGACAGATGGATACGGATGTAGCACCCTAGGCACGAGCAAAGGAGAGCTGTCTGAGATGTCTGCCTCGTAGGGGGATGGCACAGTGGGGCGTGGCTGCCTGGCCACCACCTCCTGCCCCTGATGGACAGAGAGAGAGATGAGAGGGGCTATATGAAACACTTCCCTATTTACTGAGCCTGAAGCCACAGCACCCAGGCTGGGTCCCAGCCATACTGGGTAGCTCCTGTGGGATCAGTAAAGGCACACAGTTAATGTAGTTACAGGAACCTAGCCACCATTGTCTTGACCTGACACTCTTTCCCATCTCTCTCCCCTCCTCCTCTCCCTCCTCTTTTTTTCTCACTCAGCCTCTCTGCTGAATTCTGCATTGACATCAGCACTTCCAAAAACAACAGCAAAGGAAAGTAGGTCAGTGCCAGATCAGAGCTGGCCCCTGGTGGTGGCTGAGTCTGGGGTACAGCCCATCTCATGGAGAGCAGAGGGGCATCCCCCAAACACTGCCTGCTGCCTTGTGAGGCACTTGGTCCCTCATACCCATACCTTAGGGGAGGTGGTAGCATGTGTGTGCGGCCTGTTTGTTGGCAGGTAGGCTCCTGGATGGGCCAAGTTGGGGTTTCTGCACTGTGAGCAGCACCCCCCCCCACAGTCCCTGTGGTCCTAATAAAGCATTGCGAACCAACAGACCTGGGGTGCACTCCTCATCTTGAGAGTGGGAGGCCAGCCTCTGGAGACCTCATGCTCACTGACACACGTATGTGCACAAGCCCATGACACCCCCGTCTCCCCTTTCTCTAGGGCTTTATGCAGAATATTGCCTCTGCTCTCTATGGCCATGGAACTCCCGCTCTACTTGAAAGATTACCCAACACGCTAATTGGGACTCCTGCTATGATTAAAAAGAAATTTCCGATTAGAGCCACCATGCTATAGAGCTTGGGAAGAAAACAGCTCTTTAGAAACGCAGCGGGGGCAGACTTCGGGGTTGTGTTGTGGTTTGGGGTTGTGTTTTTTTTTCTTCCTAAGTTAGAAAGAACCTGTTTCTACCTGTTATTTTGTCAGTGCTGAGTCAAGCTAGGACAGTGGCCAGGTAAGGCCCAAGGCATCAAACAGAGGGACTATCTGCCAAGAGAAAAAAATGGTAGTCTTTCTCCCTGCTTTTTCTTGTGAGGACTGTAATGGAGCTGTTTCTGCACAGCTAGGTCCCGCCCTGCTGGCACCTATGGCTCGCTGATTGGCAGATGCCGCGGTCGGTCTCGGGCAGCCCTTGCCTGGGATAAAGGTTTTCTGAACAGTGGACGGTGAGCAACACATTTCAATCTAGCTCCCTGAAGCGATTAGCTCCTAGTGCTGGCAGGTCCCCAGGGAGAGTGGGGGAGGGGAGGGCGGGAGCTGTGGTCAGTCAAAGGCAGACATTTCTGAATGGTTCCCAGCTCATCCCTGCTTTTAGATTTCATTAGCTTGGAGAGGGGAGGCCTCACACCATCCGTTTGCCTCTCGTGGGCATCCTACCTTGTAAGGCAGCATACCTCCTCTTTTCTACCCCAGCCAAAAGCCCACTACACCCACCCTCTAGCTAAGATTTTAGAACTTTGACACTGAACCCAAACCCTTCTAAAAGAGAGTCATTTGGCCTTATGTAAATAAAGTCTCTCCTTAATATCGACTTCATTAGAAGACCCAAGAAAAGACCATCAGTGTTTGCTGATGGAGTAGTATAATTGTCTTTAAGGGTAATTGGCTAGTTATTGAGGAAAACTGTCTGCAAAAGACAGGGAGACAGGAAATGGAGGGAAGGACTCCAGGTGAAAGGGCTTGCTCAAGCTGGTCATCCTGGCCTCGAATGGGAACAGGTTGGGCCTCAGAGTACAAAAGGCCAGCACTGCATGGCTAAAGTCCCCAATACTGCCATTCACAAGTATGGGAATCCCACAAAAGTAAAATTCCAGCCTCACAGTTAACCCCAGCATTCAGCAGGTAGAGGCAGGCAGATCTCTGTGAGTTTGAGGCCAGCTTGGTCTACAGAGCAAATTATAGACCAGCCAGGACTATACAGAGAAACCCTGTCTCAAAAGATCAAAAACCAAAACCAAACAAACAAAAAGAGTAAAATTCCAGAAATAATTTGAAGGGGTGCGCACACACACACACACACACACACACCACATATCACATGTACACACACATATCACACATACACACACACACATCACACATGAACACACATATCACACATACACACATCACACACATACATATCACACATGCACACACACACCACACACACATATCATACATGCACACATCATACACACACACACACACACCTCCAACTACAGAATCCAAGTCGCAGCCACCTATGTGCCAGTGCTATTTTCATAAGAGGAATTTCTTTTAGAACACCTCTCTTCCCCCAACAACATAAAGATGCACTTTCTGAATAAAGGATTATCTTTAGATTGAATAAATCTGGCTTAATGAAAAGCCCACTACATTAGTGTTTCATTGCAAATCAGCAGAAACCGTACTCACAGGCTGCCCTTGTTTTCAGATGAGCTTTGGAAAGCACTTGCTGGAGCCTTGCTTCCCCGGTTGCACAGCAGCATGGAAAGGAAGCAGAGCGCCTGGGCTTGGATTCAGCTGCCGTTTTCTGGTTATCCTTTCAATCTTCCTCCTCCTCATTGTCAGTTTCCAGTGTGTGAGGGGAAGGGAAGAGGACAGTTTGGTCTAAATCAAACAGGACCTGGGGATAAAGATGCCCACCTGTATTTTTAGCATGAGGGAGGCAGAGGCAGTCAGAACTATGTTTAGTTTATATGTGTTTGTATGTGTGTGTGTGTGTACTCACTTACCTGTGTAGAAGACATATGCTGTGTGTTCATGTATGTGTGTGTTCGTGTGTGTGTGTGTGTGTGTGTGTGTGTGTGTGTGGTCACTCACCTATGTAGAAGACATATGTTGTGTATGTGTGTGTGTGCATGTGAGTGTGTGTGTGCGTGCGCGCACATGTGCGCTCACTCACCTGTGTTGAAGACATATGTTGATGCAGGGGTCTTCTTCAGTGTCTCTCCATCTTATCATTTGAGACAGAATCTCCCACTGAGTCTAGAACTCACCAACTGGCTAAACTGGCTGGCCAGGGAGCTCCACTTATCCCTCTGTTTCTGCCTCCCTAGTACTGGGATTACAAATGTGACCGTGTTTACTTGGCTTTTCCTTCCTTCCTTCCTTCCTCCCTCCCTTCCTCCTTTCTTCCTTCTTTCTTTCCTTCTTCCTTCCTTTCTTCCTCCTTCCTTCCTTCCTTCCTTCCTCCTTCCTCCCTCCCTCCTTCCTTCCTCCCTCCCTCCCTCCCTCCCTTCCTCCCTCCCTCTCTCCCTTCTTCCTTCCTTCCTTCCTTCCTTCCTCCCTCCCTCCTTCCTTCCTTCCTCCCTCCCTCCCTCCCTCCCTCCCTTCCTTCCCTCCTTCCGTGCATGCCCCGAGCATGTGCAGAGGTCACAGAACAGCCCAGGAGTTGTCTTTCTGCTCCCACTATGTGGATACTCAGGAGTTGTCTTTCTGCTCCCACTATGTGGATACTCAGATCAAACTTGTATTGATAGACGGGTAGCAAGTGTCTTTACCCACTGAGCTATCTCTGACCCCACAGCCAGCATTTTATGGGTTCAGGGGGTACAAATTTGTGTTCTTATGCTTACAAGACAAGCACTTAGCCAACTAAGTCATTTCTCCAGCCCCACGCTAGTTCTCTTCAGTGCTGAGTTTTTATTCTCTCCCAGCTCTAGGGGGTCAAACCCAGAGTATCACACAGGCCCGACAAGCACTCTGCCAACCTCTCCCTACCCTTCCCTTCCTTTACTTCATTCATTCCTTCTTTCTTTCCTATTTTTGAGACAGGTCCTGACTATGTATGCATCCCAAGCTAACCTTGAACTTGTAATGTAGCCAGGCTGGCTTTGAACTCACTTAAGCCTCTCAAGCACTGAGGTTTTAGGCCTAAGCTACCGCACCTGGCTAATTTTTCAAGTGAGCGAACAAAAACAATGAGAAGAAAACAAAAACTCCTAGAACATCCACAGATTGAAAAAAGCTCTGAAAAGAGACTCAAAATGGATTACCAAACTATGCTTGAAGCACAGAGTTGTTGAAAGAAAGAGAAAGAGAGAGGCAACGTTGGCTCAGTAGGTAGAAGTCATTCGTACCTGATGACCTGAGTTCAGTTCTTGACCCCCACAGTGGAAGGAGAAAACCAGTTCCCGGGCATGCTCTTCTGACCACCATACACGTGTTGTGGCATGTTCATGCTTACACACACACAACGAGCAAACGAGCTCTTGGAGAAGGAAGTTCTGGAAATGTATCTAATTGGAGCAGTTCTTGCAAGCCCTGTGCTCAGCTGATTTCTCTTTCTTTTGTGGTTTTGGTGATGAACCCAGGGCCTGGCATACCCGGATTGAGCTGTGCCATCAACACTGAGTCAGCCTTTGCCTCTATTTACTCTAAATGGTGGCAGCCTCATGGTGTCCTGGAAGAAGAAGAATGTGCCCAGGCCCTCTCTCTCCTCCCAACTCAAGACATCTATTGAAATTAATCCAAGATTTCATAAAATAATGATCTAGCCTCAGCTACCCAGAGACGAGAGAAACCTTGGCCTATTGGGGATTTCCAGTCACTGCACCCCTATTTTTGGTGAGGAGGTGGGAAGAATTCTTGTCAGGTCTTTCTATCACCTGAATTGGAGGTCGAGGTGAAGTGTTTGGGGAAGTTTGAGGGTCAGAGGGGCGAAGAGCACGTGTAAGGAGATGTAGACCTGGTGTCTTGGGACTGTTGCCAAGGCTCCTGACTCCTTTCGGCTCTCAAAGCTATGAGTATGAGAGACAGTGCTGGGCTCCTCAGTGTCTGCCTGTCTTATCCTGGGTCACACAGATGGGACACACAGTGGTAGTCTAGGTGTGGGAAACTCTGTCCACTTGGGGAGGGAGGGGGATACGGGTCTGAGTAACCGGTAGGCCTACTTCTTTATATGTATGCAAAGTAGGGGGGCATAATCAAATCTCCCAACTGTGGGTCTCACTAACAGGTTGTATCTACAAGGTGGAGGGTCTTTCAAATCTTGACACACTATCCAACTTCAATTTGCTTTCTCATTTTTCCTTGCCAGTGGCCTCTTGGAGAGGAAATGGCTGAGGAAGATAGAGCTACACAAAGACAAGGCCATGGCCTGGCTGCAGGGTTTCTCTGAGTCTGAAGAGGGGTCAGCAACTCTGAGAAATGAAGCTATTTCTGAGTGAGAAGGCCAAAGGAGGAATAAGGCAGAGGGAGGGCCCCTGAGGAGACTGAGGCCAGAGTGAGGACTCTGTGTGAAGTTAAGAAGGTTAGAGGAATTCAGTGAGACCCACCCTCCACATACATTTACGTGAGGCAGAGAGGGATGTCATCTCTAGGGCAGAGTGGGGAGACATCCGTCTGTAGTATGGTGTAGAAGGGACAGAGAATGATGGCAATAGGACAAGTTCAGGGTTGATGGGCAGCTCGTAGGGTGGGTGCTCATAGCAGCATGCAGTTAGGTAGACTACACAGCAACTTTCAGAATTCCCAGGTTCCATTAAATCCCTGCTCTGAGAAGGTAAGACCCACACAGGGTGGATTGCAGCCCCCCCCCCGTTCTGGTCACATCCAGTCAGAGTGGAGGTGGGGCCAGTCTTGTAAAAGAGGCTGTTGAGGACATCTGAACAATGTCTGTAACCTCCACTAGCAAAGTGCCAGACGCTTGGTGACACTTTGAATGCCTCAGATAAAACAGTGAGAGACTCTCCTGGTGGCAGGCAAGATGAGGGGTCAGGGACCTCAGTGCCTCTGAGGCTCAGACACCAGGATAAAGAATAAAAACACCTCAGAGACCCTTGTGACCCCTCCTGCAGGGGGAGAATGCCAATGTGGCCATGCTGGAGCACAGAGCCTCCAGGCCTGTACTGGGTAGGAGCCTTCCACAGCTAGAGCGTCAGATAAACCCCTTCTGGCCCCAGATTAGGGAACATGCCTTGGCTCAGGCCTGTGTCACAAAAACCCTTGAAGATGGTCACCAGTCTGTGACGATGTGAAACAAAGCCTCCATTCTTTGCACATCCCAAGTGGCACCTATATGACCGATCCCTGTGTCCCTCTTCTGTTGACTACCCTTGCAATCCAATAAAGGGGAACCCCATTTTCTGCCAGCTTCCTCCTCACTGGTAGAAATGTACCCTGCATGTGGGGGCCTGCCTTGCTCACTCGTGGCCTGGCTGGGGCTTTGCACCTCATTGGCTCTAAGAGCTGTTGGCTACATGAATGTCACACACCCAGGTCAGCCTGCTAAAGCCATCAGTGGGGGCTGGAGGGGTGGCTCACTGGGAAAGAGCGTTGGCTGCTCTTCCAGAGGACTGCCAGAGCCCACAGGTCAATTTACAGCCATCTGTAACCCCGGTTCTAGGGATTTTACACCCTCTTCTGGCCTCCACAGTCATCAAGCACACATGCTGTACACAGAAAACACATATACACAAAATACAGTTAAAAGTTAAAAAGTATCAAGTGGACCACTGACCTGGGCTGCCAGGGTCAGGGCTCATGGGCTCAGAAGTGGGGTGCAACATCCTTGTCACCTACCTGATGCCTTTTCCTTCTGCTCCTCCCCACCTAGCAATCTATGATAAAACCAAAGACATCCCACACAGTGTCTATATGTTCTTCAATACGAATGACAGAATGCTATGCCTGGTGTGTGTGTGTGTGTAGGTGTGCAGGTGTGCATGTGCAAAATGCTTCTCTATGGGGCCCTCCTGTCTATCTGCCTCTTACTCACTGGTCACACAACTGCCCCATGGAGCTGTGTTTTCTCTTTCCAAGTGTCAATGTGTGTGTGTGTCCTTCATCCAGTGGCCCTCCTTTGTGGGTTTGTCCTGCTGTCCCCCGTCACTAAGAAAATCTTCTGTCTGTTCTGGGGTTGTCTCGCTGGAGCAGAAACATCATTGTCTTATCCATGGCGACTCACCAGAGTGGTGGGCAGGAGGGTACAACAGTGGCCCCGGGACACGTCTTCTACATGCTTAGGCCTTGTGCACTGGCATTGCTTTCTTCCTCTAAGCAGATCTCCCAGGAAATGGTACTTACAGAGATTGAAGAGTTTAATACATGTCTCACTGCCTCTCTTTTCAGAGGCCCCCCAGAGGGAGCAGCAGAAATCAAGGCTGGCAGGGGCTCCAAGTGGCCTGGGCAAAGGAGCAGGGGGTGGCATGGAGCCTTAGCCAATTTGGAAAGCCCCGTGACCCAAGCACATTTTTGCAGCAGTAATGTCAAATTCTGCCGTTCAGGCATGCCATTGATGTGCACACTGCCACACAGAAACCAGTGACACAAAGGCACAGCCTTCTCCACCCTCCTGGTGCTTAGAAACTAACAGCTCTAATGAGAAATGAGAGCTGAAAGGAGAGAGACGGGAGGCGGGCCACAGCGGTGCAGGCTGGTGCTGAGTGTTGGAGGGGCTGACCCACTTCTTGTAGAGGTAAGGGGCCCACTGAAATGTCACTTAAATTAGCTACCACTCCCAACACTAGATCTCTTTGTCCCCAAACCTCATTGCATGTAATGGGAGCCCTGTTACTTTCTTTTTTCTTCTTCTCTGGGGCAGCCTCAGACACTGCACCCACTGGACTTCTTGGTTGTGAGCCTAGCCTTTAACGGCTGAGCCATCTCTCCAGCCCCCACTGGACTTTTTAGAGCCATAAACCAACCGTACTCATTCCAGAAGCCCTCTTAAGA